ATATAAGACACGTAGACAGAAATCCGAATCGATACTAACGGTCGACTATGACACACCCACAAGCTTCTTCGCCTTCCGCCTTCCGTTTTATAAATCATCCATCTAAATAGTAGCCGTCCCCACGAATTGTGCACGGCTATTGAATCTGACTTAAAATGTAATGTCCGTTTACTCAGTTTTGCTAAATCAACGGCTACTCATGGACTGAGTAAAAACTGCTCGAATTGTAGTTGATGTTAATCATATTCGAGCAAAATTTGGCCGAATATGAGTGACATTTAACTCACTCAATTCCATGGATTTAGCAGTCCCGAGTAAACGAACCTCAAACTGAAGTTAGATTACACGACCGTGTGCACAAGTTGTATGACAGGCGCGAAACCTATTAAAATGGTGTGAACATTATATGAGTGACGGATCACGACTAGACTAGGGTGAGTGGGGTGTGGATTGCCGTTTGCGAGGTACGGAAGATTGAGGGACTAATAACAAGCGAAAGACTTTATCGCTATTACAAAATTTATGAGATAACGGTTGCCTCTGGTTAACTCCGCGAGGCGGACGGTTGATGTCAGGGGTAGTAGGAACGTGGTAGGTGGATTAAGAGTTTGCTGATAACGATTTAATTTAGGGAAAGTTTGTAGCTTTTGTGGGTGACTTTTTGCAATACTTGAAAATCACTGGTTCCGACTTTCTTGAGCTCAGCCAAGATAAATCCAGTCCAAGTCTTCTCCCTCATTCTACGTCCAACCGGGGGATGTAAGATTTTCTCACATTTTTTTAACTAGTTCGTTTAATTACTAGGCTCAGTCGTGTGTGACACTTTGTGGAGCCAAAAGTCAGTAATGTTTGAATTTACATTTTAAACAGCAGTAGTTCAAGGTTTGTATTGGGTACCTATTACTCGTGGTGGGCTAGAGGTTAATGTGTAACAATTTCGATTGGAAGTAGCTAGGTAGGAAACTGGTTTCTGAAGCCTCCTTCAGATACTACTTTCGGACCGTTGACCAAATCCTGGCTGGGTGGGGCAAGTAGCACAGAAACAAGAGGATAATAACACTGGGATACAATGGCTGGAAGTTGTTTGGAAAGGAGGGGATGGTCACATTAGACTCTAACATCAGACAAATAAAGGAATTCGTATATCGCCTGCATGTAGGGAAGCTCACGGGTTCCCCATACATCTTTTACTTCCCGGAAGGGTTGTCTACCTCGGGCCAATAGGGTATCTAACAGTCGCGCTCTGGAGGCGTAATTACCCGGGCAATACCAAACTGCGTGATCGATGTCATCATGGCCGGTTCTACACCTACATATATTGCTCACAATTATAAGTAATTAAAAACAAAATTTATCTAGTCGAAGATTTCAGTAAAGCCCATGGAGAAAGTTTTCAATTCTTCATGTTGAAGATCTTATGTTTGATGATGTTTTGTATGTGTAAGTAACAAGAAAAGATTCTAAAGTTTGTGTTTGACAAATGAAAACTGCAAATTTAGCTTGGACAGAGTCACAATGAGTGATTTTCTGATCGACTCTTCGCGAAGAGCGAAGAGTGGGTGAGATAAATGACGAAATCGCTTATTGAGACTCTCATGAAGCAAAATTTTCAGGTGTTATATGTTTTGTGTGCAGCGGAGCTGGTGGTGTAGTGGTAAGTGGGATTGCCTCTCACCCCAGCAGGCCTGGGTTTAATCCCAGTCGGCGCCACCGGAATTTTCTGAGGAATAAAATCTCTAATCACGCCTTCCTTCGGAAGGGAAGTAAAGCCGGTGGTCCCGGTTCATGAGTTGATGGGTCGATAGGTAGTGTCCAGGTGTGGAAGCTGTCTCCCTGGCGTCTGTAGTATTGGTGCTCAGCACGGAAAACAAGATCGACGGAAATCAAACAAACACAATATTTTCATAATATCTTATCATACCATAATTTCATAAAACATTTTTTTTCAGCAAATAAAGGTTATCTTCCATTTAATTTCACCTAATTAATTTTGGTATCCATGACAGATACGTATTTCGACTACAATGTGCAGTCAAGATCACAGGTATAAAAATGAAACTACAATGTGTTGAATCGGAACCTACCTAACTAATTAAAACCACAGATTTAAGTAAACTAAAGGAGAAAAATCTATTCAACTCTCTAATAAGGAAAATCCCAAAGGCTTGATGATGACATTGTAGTCGAAATACGTATCTGTGAGATGAGATGAGATGAGTACTTAAGGGGGTTAGATTTTGAAAAGTTCTTTAGTGGGAATGACACTGATGAAGACTGCACATTGTAGTCGAAATACGTATCTGTCATGGATACCAAAATTAATTAAGTGGAATTAAATGGAAGATAACCTTTATTTGCTGTTTTATTTAAGCATTCCGCTAACAACCCAATTTCATTAATTCATTTTTTTATTGGGTATCAAGCTGGAGCTGCGTGACAGCTTAGTTTTTAAGACTTGACCCATTGGAATAAATTTTGCTTCTATCTTTGACAATACAGCAGAAGCACTAGCCTATGCTGACCGTTTGAACACTGGATTCCGTATGTATTGTTTCATGATAGTTATAGAAAAAATGCTGTGACATGTGCGCGTAGTAAACCGATTGAATAAGTAAATCCGTTTCGAACGAAATATCTAAATTATGTAAGTTACGAAAACTGCGCGAATTCCGAAAACCGTGCGAGACCACCGAAGCGAAAAAAGGCTTATAAATTATCATTTAAAGAGTGCCACCAAAATAAATGTGATAGCCTATGTTGGCAAATTGATTAATGTTGGTTTCCTCCCTAGATATTCTACTTATTTACTACTGAGCCCAAATAAATCTATCTGCGTAAAATAAATAAAATAAGAGTGATTTACGGCAAAACCCGCCAGTATCACACCCAACGTCAGTGCCTATACGTAAGCGTACTACGACGCGGCTCTCAATTAAAGGAGTAACAAGTGTGATACTGTCACTGCTAGACTAGATCTTTGGTTCTCTCATGCAGTGGTTTATCAGAGAGGGGAAGCTTAGTAATCCCCATTGCCTACCCATGACGCCATTCTATCGCGGCATGAGCCAGCAAAGCCGACCATAAACCTACCGTCTCCAACACTCCACTATAAAGCATGAAATTAAACCCGCCCACCAACAGCAAGGTGCAAAAACTAGCTATGGGGAGGGATAATTTCATAAAACATTTTTGTATTCAAAATTAATTGATTAATGAATTGCACCCTGTTTCAAATTTAACATAATTTTATTTTTTTTTCCTGAACTTGCAAAGGCCGGCTAAAAGTAAATTGTAACGCCCCTTGCACGCCGCTAGGACGCCTCTAGTGTTGGGAATCGACAATCTTTGACAGTGGTTTGTTAACACTTCTATATACAGGGTGGCCAGACCTACCGATTTTTGGGATGCCTACCTATTCACAGATGAAAGGTTCAAAAATACCGATTTTTCACTTTTCTTACCGGCTGAGTTCCATATGGCGAATTTCCATATTTATATTTATATATATATCTTTTCATCTCTTGATTTTAAGCAGCAGATGGCCATGATTTGATGAGCGATTTGCATTTGTGGTCTGAAAACGGAACCATTCGTCACATCCTCGACGATGGCATCCCAAGTTTACATCGGAGAACGCCTGAAAAAGCGTGTATTACCGCTCATCCACAAGCGTAGGGTCAAAATCATATTTTGAATTTTTCCCTGATCATGTTTACCAGCAGCGGCGCCGGTGGTGTAGTGGTAAGGAGCGCCAACTATTTTAAATTAGCTGATTTTTCAATTTTCACCTGTATATGAATATCAGAAACATCCCAGATGTATTCCAAATTTATATATTTTTGCAATTTTTCCACGAATTTCTAAATCAGGGGCACAAGTGTTAGAATGTTTATTATTTTCGGTGAGACTTCACTCTTATTTAAACGTGTTTAATATTTTCCGGGTGCATTTTACCTATTTTGTAAACTTTTTTTTTCGTTGTAGAGCTAAGTAGTAGTTACCTACCTGCGACTGCCTATAACCATAGCGCTGCCAGTCTTAAATTATACGTTTCAGAACAGCTTATTTGGACCTGAAAAGATGCCGGTGATGATGAAGAGTGTCAGATTGTTTTAACGATCGAATCTGGAGTCAGCTTGGCCACCACTGCAACTCCACGAAAATTTTGTTTGACATTCATTTGTATTGATATACAAACAGTCACTTTCTGCGACTTCACGTACTAAAGTGGTAGCAACATTTACCAGTTTCAGAATTTAGTTGAGAAAGTCGCATTTTTATCGCAGTTATGCAATAAAGTTGCAATTTAAATTTAAACAAGATTGATTTCACCTGCAGCTTTATGGGATTTCAATGTGTAGCAAACTCAAATACAATCTAGTGTGTAGTGCCTTATGCTATCTGTGTTTAGCTTGGACATTGTATCATGCGTTATGCGATAAGCATTTTAGATTCCAAGTTCCGAGAAACGACATTGTTGATTGTAAATGGTATTAATGGATTCAGAGATGAACCAGCCGATGGCTGAAAGTCTCTTTAATAAAGAAAGATAAAGGTATTTACTGGTTATCAGCCAATACGTCACAATGATAAGATAATCATTTTAGATTCTAACTACTGTTGAGAGATATAATAAATTGAGAGTCCATACGTCTCTCTGGTTAGGCAGTCATGTTTCTAGACAGCTATCTACAGGACGGTTTTGCCGGAGAGACCTGGAATGCGACGGGTACTTGGTTTGTGAAGCGAAAAAAAAACATTCTAGTGACGATTTCAAGTACGTTCAAATTCTCCGGAAAAGGCTCTCTAAATAGTTGTCACTCATTTGATTTCAGAATTTAAAATACACCGAAATGAACTGTACACACTATTTGCAGGTAAATTCATTTCAGGGCACTAATCGTTGAAATCCAGACTAGCAATTGATTTTTCCAGCATCTCTGTCGTGGTTCATGATCTTTCCTCAAGTGGCATGGACATCTCCAGCAATACCTGGACTGATGATAGATCCTCAAATCCAGTTGGAATCGCATGAAACTTTCTGGATCGTTGCCGTTCACTTGTTCGGCGCTCTATTAGGACCATTCGTCGCTGGATTTCTGGTCATCCGAATCGGTCCCCGGAGTCTGCTCATGAGCTGTGTCATTCCTGCTATAATCAATTGGGTCATGATTGGATACTCCAGATCAGTGGCCGTGATATACGTTGCCCGTGCAATAGCTGGAATCGTGTATGGCACAGTGGTGTCTACATCACCGATTTATCTGGAAGAGACCTTACCCGAATCGATAAAATACTTAAGTGATTTATTCTTGATCTTGTTCGGTAATTTGAGCATCATAGCAACGTTTGTGATTGGAGCGTTTGTCGACTTTCGAATGCTGACATGGATAATGATTGCTTTCCCAACGGTGTTTTTAATATTCTTCATGTGGGTTCCAGAATCACCACGTTATCTGATGTTCAAAAACAAGGAGAAAGCTGCACATAAGGCATTGCAATGGCTGCGTAGAAAACTGGACGTCTCGGAAGAAATTTCATCAATAAAAATATCGTTTGAAGAACGAGTGCAACTTGACTTTCTCGTAATAATCAAGAAATTATGGGAACCGGACGCGAGAAAGAGTTTATATATTTTCCTAATTTTCGTGCTGGTTGAAAACTTTACTGGAATGTTTGTGATTATCAGCTACACTAATTTAATCCTGGTGAATGTTGCATCTAGTCTAACCCCAGGCCAGATGAGCATAGTTTTGGTCGTAGTGCGAACTGTAGTAGTGATTGTTTCAAAGATTCCAAAAAAATACTTTGGCCATAGGCCGATGTTGCTTTTCTCTATCGTAGGTGCAGCAATTGGGCTCTTAGTGTGCAGCACTTACTTTACCATCGATACCCAAGCCCAGTACAGCAGTGCCGGTTGGATTGCATTTCTAGGCCTTATTACGTACATCATACTGTTCAACCTCGGAATCAACTCACTTCCATCAACGATCATTGAAGAAATATTCTCTCCAAATCTATATTTGTTCGTCACTGGAATGTTCGCCATCATGAACTATCTGATGTCGATTGGATTGGCGAAAATTTTTCAAAGCACGCTGTTCATGGTTGGAGTGCACGTGTCGTTTTGGATCTTCACGATAAGTGCTGCTGTTTGTGCGTTATTGGTTTATGCGTTTGTTCCGGAGACCAAAAACCTCACCTTCGAAGAGGCACGGCAAGCCGTTGCCGACAAGGCCAAGATTAATGGCCCATCCTACGCGTGTATCAAGGTTGTGAATCCATGCAAGGTCTGCGTGGAGGATGACAATAATTAGCGGTAATAAAAGTATTTTCAAAATAAGCAATGTACGCGTAGTTTTAAACCCAAGTCGAATTGAAGGTTTCGACAAAATAGGCATCTATTAAGGGCGATTTCCGGTTCAATTGACCTAAACTTTGGATTTTTTTTTTTTCCAGGGAACTGGTAAGAGTTAGAAACCTGAGTTTTTTGTCAAATCTTTATTCATTCTTGCTCTACAACTGGGAATTTTTTCAAGTCCAAAAATCCAAAATGGTGTCCAATATGGCAGCTGTCCGGCGGGTACTTCCCAAAACTGCGAGCAGCCTAGAGGTCGCAAATCATCACCTAGAAAAAAAATCGGCTCAGTTTCTTGAAGAGTATAGTTCAGAGAATGGAATGAACTAGAATCTTTGAAAAATCTCAAAATTTGACAAAATGGCGGGCATTTGAAAAAAAGTCATTTACCTAGTTACCGCCATTTTGTCAAATTTTGAGATTTTTCAAAGATTCTAGTTCATTCCATTCTCTGAACTATACTCTTCAAGAAACTGAGCCGATTTTCTTTCTAGGTGACAATTTGCGACCTCTAGGCTGCTCGCAGTTTTGGGAAGTGCCCGCCGGGCAGCTGCCATATTGGACACCATTTTGGATTTTTGGACTTGAAAAAATTCCCAGTTGTAGAGCCTGAATGAATAAAGATTTGACAAAAAACTCAGGTCTCTAACTCTTACCAGTTCCCTGGAAAAAAAAATCCAAAGTTTAGGTCAATTGAACCGGAAATCCCCCTTAAGAACATACTTAAGAATGCAACAACATTTATAGAAATTGTATATTTTCTTAAAATCCTTAAACTAAGAAAAAAATCTCTCAAAAGTTTAACTATAATTACAACATTTTGTATTTTCCCTTGAATGATTTGAAATGTTGATAAGGACAAGTGCGCTCTGTAATTGATAAAATATAAATTCAAGTATTGTTATTCTATTATGGTTTTTAAGAGAAAATAAAGCATGACTATTATGATCTTGTTTGATATTATTTTTAACCAATTCAAGTCACCACTGGTGGCCGGCGCCGGTGGTGTAGTGGTAAGCGTGACTGCTTTCTAACACCCCAATGGGTCTGGGTTCAATCCCAGCCGAGGTCGGTGGGATTTTTCTGAGGCATAAAAATCTCTGGTCACGTCTTCCTTCGGAAGGGAAGTAAAGCCGTTGGTCCCGGCCCATGTTTGTTGTGAATGGGTGCGATATCCTACGCAGGTGTGGAAGCTGCCTTCCTGCACATTCGATTGCCGTCAATGGATGGCAATTGATGTCCGTCGGTGATTGGCACTAGATTGCGGAACAGAGACCACCGTTAAATAAAGGAAAGAAAATGCTTTTCTTTATCAATGAAATTTTTTCTCATCACATAGAATCTGCAGCAATACTCTCCCAACTAAATTTTTATGCGCCCTTTAGACCTCTTCGAACTCGAAATTTATTCTATGAAAACACATGCATTGATTTTTTATTCCTGAAAATGGCATCGGATTTGTTGCCGAATCAGTGTATGCTTCAAAAGACCCACACAGCAAAAAAAATTGAATTATAATTGTGATGCAAACATTCACTCACGTAAACTTGTATTTCATTTCACGCAAACGAGCAACTTGTAAGCAATGTTGCTTACAAATATGGCCTTTTGTATACAATATTTGCAATATTTCTTGAAATGTCTCAGAACTTTACACGATTTATAATGTAAACTTAGATGACATGTGACGCTCCTTTTATGTGCATCATATTAAACAGATATTTGCACTACTTTTTCGAACCGTGCACGATAACTTTTATAGCACCTCAGTTAAATCGATTGACAAGAGCTGGTGGTGAAATAAAAGCATTATCCTTCAAAAAAACTTCTGATATGCAACACAAGACACAGGGGGATGGTTGAGGCCTCCATTAGCTCAACCGGCCAAGGTGCAGCTTCAAAAAAAAGCAATACCATGTTGAAGGTGGCTGGCTTCGGTTTCCGGTCCGGTCTAGGAATTTTTCGAGTTGAAAAAGTTCTCGACTTCCCTGGTCTTAGAGTATGATTGTACTTGCCATACAATTATGCAAATGCAAAAATGGTACAGGCATCGAAAGCTATTAATTGAGAGCTGTGGAAGTGCATTTTTAACTCTGTTTGGCACTCATGGTCAAAAAAATTTCATGTTATTTAAGATATCTGGCAACAGTGTACTATCTCTGCACCTGCGCAGTGCGCATGTATCAGAATTAGATGCAATCATTGTTGTTGACACAATCCAATTTTTGAAAACCGCAACAACCGTGAATTTTTGCCTTATCCCACCGTAGATTCCTTCAAAATACAATGAGCTCAGTCCAAAGCCTATCCGAAGCAGCACATTACTCCGCATAAAACCATGCGTTCAAACATTCGGATAACTGCGCAAACCAAAATTAGGGAACACACTGCTGTGCTGAGAATGGTCAAGGTGATATGAAGAAAATTTTCCACCATGAAATCTAATCACTCTAATCCTCGGTAAAATCTCATGCCTTCCGGATACATGATAGTCTACGGCTTCGTAATCACAATCGTAACAAAAAACACTTTGAACGAAACCTACAGCTAAAACCCGACCACAGTTCCTATCGTTAGGCCTCAATATTTTATTTATCTAGACAGCAGCTGACTGTACTTATGTACTAGGTATGTACTATTCAATCCATAGCTCTGTGCAGACCGTTTGTTCCAGCTAGGTAGCAACCCTATCTTGTTTGCCTTGCCTTGACAAGAGCTAACATCGCTGCGGGCCCGCGAATTGTGGGCCCCACTGACAACTCATAATTTGTAAACATTTCATTATTCCAAATGTTTCTTCGAGAGCGTGATTCAAAGGTCTGGATGTAAGTCGGGGATTCATTCGAGTGATGTCAAGACTTATGTCCAACCACTACTCGCTAGACGCACATCTCTATAGAATAAACCTCGTTGACAGCAATATATGTAGGTGCAGAAACGGTTATGATGACATCGATCACGCAGTTTGGTATTGCCCGGGTAATGACGCCTCCAGAGCACGACTATTGGATACCCTAGTGGCCCGAGGTAGACAACCTTTCCGTGAAGTAAGAGATGTATTGGGGACACGTGATTTTCCTTACATGCAAGCGTTCTACGAATTCCTTTGTTTGTCTGATGTTAGAGTTTGATGTGACCATCCCCTCCTTTCCAAACATTTTCCAGCCATTGTGTCCCAGTCTTATTATCCTCCTGTTCCTGTGCTACTTGCTCCTGCCCAGCCAGGATTTGGTCAACCGTCCGAGAGTAGTATCTGAAGGAGGCTTCAGAAACCTGTTTCCTACCTAGTTTTTTTCCAATCGAAATTGTTACCCATTAACCTCGAGCCCGCCACGAGTAATTGGTACCCAATACTAACCTAGAACTACTGCTATTTAAAATGTAAATTCAAACATTACTGAGTGCTCGGCTGTAAGTGATTCGTTTACCTCTCAATCGTTCAGACTGTTTTGCGCACTGGTTTATAGCCCATGCCGGTACAAAACTCTTTTAAGTTTTATAGAATCTCCTACGAAGTTCTTTGAATTTATTACAAATTCCATATATTTTTCATCTCTCTTAATTTTACGAAGATCTCTCAACATCTTTGAACCTTTGGAAAGACTCCCAGCTAAAAATATTCTTGAACATCTGCAAAGTTCCTTGAAGTTTATGAAAGTTCCCAAAGCTTCCAAGAAGTTCTGAAACTGAAACGATGCTCCCTAAATTGTTATTAGAAGATTGTTAAGTTATATTTAGATCTTCTACAAAATTCCCTGCACTAAAATTAAGTTTTATGCAGTTCCTAAAAATGCTACGAGATTCGCAAAAGTCCTACGAAATGTATTGAACTTATATGTAACTGTCTGAACTATTCCTGGTTCATGAGGCTTCAAAAGAGTGCCCTGAAATATATGAAGATCCCTGAACAACAATTTTTTTTGCTCTACAAGCAAATTTGTAGATAAATTTGTTGGTTGGGATGGCTCCAATTTTTCAAATTGCGGGACCCTTCAAGAAGTTATAAGAATTTCATGTAAATCCCAAGAATGTCAAGGAAGATCCGAAAACTTCAGGGTGGTACTGAGAACTTAAAAACGTCAAGAACTTCTTCTTCTTCCTCGCATTTCAAGCTTATTGCTTATCGCAAATTTGATTAATAACGTACTCTCAACACAGTGTTAAAGAAGCACTTCCACAGTTATTAATTGAGAGCTTTCGATGCCTGTACCATTTTTGCATTAGTATAATTGTGTGGCAAGTAGGGGTAACTACCCCATTTTCGGCCTATTAAACACAACCCGCACTTAGTCTTTCTTTATCTAGCGCAGTGTAGCACCAAACGGAATGTTATTATTACTGATGGCTTCTAAAATTATTTGTCTTTCCGTACGTATAGTAAGATTTGATAAAGAGAAACACATTGTTGAGATATTTTTAGGAGTCTAACACTGCTTCTTGACGCCAAACTCGGCCTACGGATTCCAAACTCGGCCTAACGTATTGAAACGCCAATCAATTCACTTCGGCCTATCGGATGAAGATAAAAATTGATTAGATAGACGCAAACATTCAAATCACCCGTTCGGTGCATTTGAACTAAAGTATCGTACCTTGACTTGTTAACTCTGAAATCATGGATTTATTGGATGTTTTATGCTCGATAGGCCCAAAATGGGCGATTAGGTCGAAGTAGTTCTCTACCTTACACTCATACTCTATGCCCAGAGAAGTTGAGAAATTTTCCAACCTGAAAAATTCCTAGACCGGACCTGTAATCGAACCCAGCCACCTCCATCATAGTATTGCATTTTAGCTGCGCCTTTACCGACTGAGCTAAGGTAGCCCCAGCTACGTCCAGAACTACGGGGAAGTTTTAAGATCTGATTTCAAGAACCAATCCAATAAATTCAGGAAAATTGCTGAAACTTTACAGAGGTTTCCAAATCTTCCAATGAGTTTAAAGAGTTAAGGTACCCA